TTTTTATTGGGAGATTTTTTTATTGTTTCTTTGATCTCAGTGCTTGAAATTGGTCTGTTCAGGAGATCTGTTTCTTCCTGGGTAAGTCTAGGGAGAGGATGTGATTCCAAATACTTATCCATTTTCTTCATATTGTCAAATTTCTGGGCATAGAGTTTCTTGTAGTATTCAGAGATGATCTCTTGTATCTCTGTGGCATCAGTTGTTATTTCCCTTTTATCATTTCTGGTTGAGGTTACTAGAGATTTTACTTTTCTATTTCTAGCTAGTCTGGCAAAGGTTTATCTATTTTATTTATTTTTTCAGAAAACCAACTCCTTGTTTCATTGGCAGCTTGCAGAATCTTTTCTTTTGTTTTGATTTTGGACAGGTTCATCACAATGTGTCTTAGAGAAGCTCTCTTAGAGTTTAGGTGAGCTGGGGTCTGATATCCCCCTGAAAGGAGTGTGTCAGAATCTTTGGTGATATTTGGGAAATTTTCATTTGTAATATTCTCTAGTATGGTTTCCATTCCTCTGGGGCATTCTTCTTCCCCTTCTGGGATACCTATAACTCATATGTTTGAACGCTTCATAAAGTCCCATAATTCTGTCAGTGAATGTTCTACTTTCTCTCTCTCCTTTTCTGCCTCTTTAACTATCTAAGTTATCTCAAGAGCTTTGTTCTCAACCTCTGAGATTCTTTCTTCTGCATGGTCTAATCTGTTGTTGATATTTTCTATTGCATCTTTAAGTTCCTTAATTGACTGCTTTAATTCCTTTAGCTCAGCTATATCCTTTCTGTATTCTTCATATCGTTCATCTCTTGATTCTGTTTTTGGATTTCCTTTTGGTTATGTTCTACTTTCTCAGCAATTTCTTTCATTGTTTTCATCATTGTATTTTAAATTCCCCTTCTGTTGTTTCTAACATTTCTTTATAAGTGGAACCCTCTTGGGTAGCTGCCTCATGGTCCCTTGGGGGTGGGGGGTTTGCTCTGGATTGGTTTTTCATGTTGCCAGGATTTTTTGGTTGATTCTTCCTTGTGAGTGTTTTCTTTTATCTGTTTCCTTGCCCTAATTTTCCTTACACTTCCTCTTGCTCTTTAAATTACTGTGCCTCTGGCCTAAGGTTTCAATGTGTCCTTTTGGTACAGGACTAAAAAGATGAGAAGATTGAAGAGCAATAAGGGAAAAAAGATTTTAAAAAAAGAAAAAAGAGAAAGGAGAGGTGGCGAGTAAAAGGGAATGTTGACAAAAAGAAGAGAGGCACAAGAAAGAGGGAGCCAGGAGAAATAAAGGTGTACAGTAGAGTACTTTGACCCAACCTTAAAAACTCCCAACCTCTGGGGGTGCTGGGTTGGGTGGTTCCCTTGAGGCCTGCAGCTCTTTGTCAGCCTAAGCAGACACAGTACCCCACCTTCACCAAATAGAGAGGAAAGACCAAAATACTGGAAATCAAACCAAACAAACAGAAAACCTTATGAGATAAAACTGGGGGAAAAACCAAATAATAGGGGCAGAAACTGCAAAAATGAAGTTCTTATTATTAAAGAGGGCAACAATGGAAAATTATATTTAAACTAGAAAAAGGAAGAAAGAAAGGAAAAAAAATAAACTGGAGGGAAAATGTTGAAATAGAAATAAACAAAAAAAACCCCACCAAAACCAAAGTAGTACATATATCTTGCTGAATAGTACCTGGGCAACAGGTGATCTTCTGAGGTATGAGATGTTAATCCTAATGCTGATATAGCTGTATGAGATGGAGACTGGAGGCTTCTGCTGATTTTTAAAACCCCAGAGGGTTGAGAGCTGTAGCCTCCTTTTCCTCAGGCTGCTTGTCACCCGCAGCAGTGTCATCCCACATCTCTCCCAGCCTCTTTGCAGCATCACCAGTGCATAGGCTGGGATGTTCTCCTTTGGTTTTGGGGCGATACTCAGATTAGAACAAGAAAAAGGCCAAAGGATGTCTCTTGGGTGCATTGGGATTCTTGAACTTCTTTTTGGTTTCCCTTTTAGGAGGGATATAGGTTTTCATTTCTTTTTCATAACAGGCCTTATCCACCTTTGCCATATCTTCAAATTTTTCTTTCTCTTTAGCAGACATGGTCTTCCACCTCTGAGCATTTCTTAGAAAACTCTGAGAAGTTGACTGAAGCATTGGGGTGCTGCTGCTTCTTGTGCTCCTCCCGACAAGTTTGCACAAAGAATTTATATGATGACATTTTGCCTCTCGGCTTCTTAGTATCTCCTTTGCCCATGTTTAGTTATTTTTCCTCAGTGAGGCACAGAGTCGCCCGGTGCTCGTCTGGCTCTCACTTGCTCTGGCTCTATCTCTATAGAGCTCAATGTACTGAAATGGCTGTGAGAGTGGGAGCCAGACACAGCCTCCTTACTCTCTCTGCTCTGTGCCTCTGTCCTCTTTAGAAAAAGATGAGATGTCGTTTCTTACGCCTTCCTCATGTGTGACTGTGGAAAGGGGGCTAAACACTTAGAGAAAGAGGCCACTTCAAAGCAGGTTATTTTTGGTTAGTCATAAATTCACTGAAAAGCATTTTTTTCCTGGGTATTCCAAATTAATGAAGATACTGGCAGTATTTAATGTGGAACGTTCATTTTCCATGCAGTTTGTGTTCATCTACTTACGTCTGTTTATTGAGTGGGTGCTCTATGGTAAGCAGTTGACTAAAAGCCGGGTGTGACAGGAGCAGCATGGTCAGGCCTGCCCTCACAGAGCTCACGTTGTAGGGGAGGAGACGCAGCAACATTGGGGAATCCCACTCATGCATGTATCTGACAGCTCTGAGAAGTGTTCAGTGGAACATTTTCCATTTCTATGTATGATGATGTATTTGCAAAAAGAGGACTCTAATGCACTTATTCCTTTATAGCTATATTTTTAATTTTTTAATATTTCATGATGAATTTTCCATATTAATACTTTCCATCCATTACCTTTAATCACACTCCACTGGCCCATTATATTTAACTACTTTAATTGTTGACAGTTTTTCTCTTATAAATAATTCTGAGAAGTTATATATGTCTTTGGGGAGCATATTCGTTGGGGTAGACTAAATGGGTGAAGCAGTAGGCCTAAAATATCATTTGAATGCAGTAGAAATACCTGTTTTTCACAGAATTGCTCAAAGTAATGTTTTAGGGCAGCAGTCCTCAACCTTTTTGGCACCAGGGGCTGGTTTCATGCAAGACAGTTTTTCCGTGAAGTGGAGGTCAGGGTTAGGCGGGACATAAGCAGTGAACTGTGATCCCCTGCTGCTCACCTCTTGCAGTGTGACCAGGTTCCTGAGTTTCATGTGAGACAATTTTTCCACAGACTGGGTGGGGAGGGTGGAGCTCTGAGACCCAGCTCTTAAAAGGCCCAAAGTTTGGGGACTGGAGTGGTTGGGTGCTCTGCAGAGCCAGGGTGATGCTGGATTTGCCATTTCTAACCTGTGGGCTTTCTTAACCGCCTACCACCTGTGGGGGTGTGGGGGTGTGGTGGTCCCTGTGCCAGTGATAATGGCCAAAATGGTTTTCTAGAGTACTTCTGTAGCTTGTTTGGTTTCATTTTTTTTCTTTGCTTGGTGCCCCTTTCTCAGCTCATTAGGAGCTGCCTTGAAGTCATTGAACTAATGGGCTTGAGTGGGAAGGCAGCACCTTCAGTCTGATTTTCATGTTGCACTAGCTCCCTCATTTGGGAGAACTTTGAAAGCGAAGGCAGGAGTCTGCGTGCCTTCTGCCTGTTTCTGTGTGTCTTAAAAACTAAGGATTTGAAAATTTTTTTTAATCATTGAGAGAAAAACATTCTTTGACACATCAAAATTATATGAAATTGAAATTTCATTGTCTGTAAATAAAGTTTTATTAGAACACAGCTACACTTCACGTATGCATCATCTGTGCTTGCCTGCCTTCATGCTGCAACCAGAGAACTCATTGTAACACAGATTGGATGGCCTACAATGCCTAAAGTATTTATTCTCTGACTTGTTAAAAAGTCTGCCACGCTCTTGGTTCAAAGCACCGTTTAGAGTTATCTCTTATAACTTGGGGTATAGAAACCATTGGTTTTTCCAGTCTTATAAGGCCTTTATTTCTGGACTTTTATCTATTCTACCTATAAAACAGCTAATTCCTTCCAGGGTTCACCACTCATAAAATCTTTCTGAAAATAGTGGTATACTGTCTCTTGGCTCTTGTCAGCTATTTCACATAGGGTTTTTTAGCTTCAGGAGACAACATATTCTACATTCTAAGTTGGGACATTTTTGATTTCACTAAATCTTTTGCCATGACATGATAAGGGCTTCTGGTTTTCTGGTTTGTAACCTCTGTTTCCTCTCCACTTGACTGTTAATTGGCTGCCACACATTTCAGCTTGCTGCCAATACCCTCACAAGGTGACACTTTGGGTACTAGTGAGGGTAGTCTGTGCTGCAGGTAGTAGGACTGACAAGTAACAGGCCTTGTTATTCCTTTAAAATAGCAATTCAGTGTAGCTATTATGAGGTTACAGTGGTGAGGATGCTGGGGTTGGGGGTACAATCTGCTGTTGGGAACCAGGCTGACAGAGTTCTGCCATCTTCAGTTTATGGCTTTCAATGTCATCTTTACCATTCTAGCTCATGAAGACTGGAAAAGGCCTGGAGAAGAATTTGAAGTAAGATCTACACCTGAGCTTGGACAGGGCCCACAGCATATCTGATTCCCTTTTGTGGAGAGAACAAGTCACAGGCTCATTCTGCTGCCCTAAGTGCAGTAGAAGTTGGGTACATGGGGTAGCTGGGCATTTGCCATAGGTGAGGGAAGAACAGATGTTGGTGGACAGCAAGCTTTTGCCACCAAGAGGCTTCCAGAGGTACATGTTTTCTTGTGTTCCTTAAATGAAGTTGGCCGGGTTGTGAAGAGTTTGCTGCTGGCATAGGTTTATTTATAGGAAAAATATCTATGCACATGTAGTTATTGAAGCAACTCTATAAGTGAATTGTTCCTGAATAAAATATGCATGTATTTTCAGGCTATTGCACATTATGAACAATCTGCTGATTATTACAAAGGAGAAGAATCCAATAGGCAAGTATTATTTTTCTTAATATAATTTAATGAGGGGGTTTAGGTCTTTTGTATACTCTGAGAGTGTATTTATGCCAAATGAAGGTGTACTGGGGCCCATGTGTACATCTTTTATTTTTCTGTTAATCTGTTATTTACTCTGCTCTGGTTCTTGATTTTAGCTCAGCCAACAAATGTCTGCTGAAGGTGGCAGCATATGCCGCCCAGCTTGAGCAGTACCAGAAAGCCATTGAGATCTATGAACAGGTGAGGACACTGGTGTCTCCTCAGAGAGAAGTTGTTATGAGTTATTTTTTAAAATTAAACTTAGTTAATCTTTTACCTTGAGATATAATTCACATACCAGTTTATTCATCCTTTTAATGAGTATAATTCATTTGTTTTTGGTATATTCACAAAGTTGTCTAACCGTTGCCATTACCTAATTTCTAGAATATTTTCATCACTACCCAGGGATGAAACCCAGTACCCCTCCTCCCAGTCCCTGGAAAGCATAGCCTGCTTTCTGTCTCTGTAAGATTGCCTATTGTGAACCATCATGGTGTACCTAGTCAGACGTAACTGGTCTCTTTCACTCAGCATCGTGCTTTCAACATCATCCAAGTTGTACTCCTACCAGTGCTTTCACTATTTTCCTGGCTGGGTGATGCTCTGCAGCTTATCCAGTCATCAACTAGTGGACATTTGGGGTGCTCTATGGTAGGCCGTTGGCTAAGAGCTGGGTGTGATGGGAGCAGAACAGTCGGGCCTGCCCTCACAGAGTTCACCTTGTAGGGGAGGAGATGCATCGACATTGGGGAATCCCACTCATGGGTGTACATTACAGCTTTGAGAAGCTGTCATGTAATAGACATGACATTTGCTATAGGTGAGGGAAGAGCAGATTTTGGTGGGACAGCAAGCATTTACCACCAAGAGGCTTCCAGAGGTACACGGTTTCTGTAATGGAATTGTAAGTGGGGCCATGTGGTAAGTCTACATTTAATTTTCTGAGCAACTGCCAAACCCATTTTATCTTCCCACCAGCAGTGCATAGGGTTCTAGTTTCTCTACATCCTCACCAACACTCCACATTTGTTTTTTGTTTGTTGTGTGAGGTGGTGTCTCACTTCCCACATACCCAGGGTGACAGACAGACATGTACCACCTTACCTGGCTTCCCTATGTCTCTGACCTGTATCTCTCTGAGGATGTGTGATGCCAGCCACCTGTCATGTGCTCATTGTCCAGTTTCATGTCTTCATTAGAGAAATGTCTATTTCCGTTCTTTCCCCGGTTTTTAGTTGGATTACTTGTTTTTTGGTAGTGAGTTTTAGGAGTTCGTTATGTGTCCTGTATATAAATCCCTGATCAGATGGTGTGGCTTACAAATACTTTCTTGTATTTAATGGGTTGCCTTTTTGTTGCTTTCCTACTCTGTTAGTAGTGTCCTTTGATGCATAGACGTTTTTAATTTTCGTGAAGTCCAGTTTGTCTAGTTTTTCTTTGGTTGTATGTGCTTTAGTTGTCATAGCCAAGAAATTCTTGTCAAATTTAATGTTGTGAAGCTTTTCCCCTGTTTTGTTCTAAGAGTTTTATAGTTTCAGTTCTTATATTTAGGTCTTTTATCCATTTTAATTATTGTATATTGTGTAAGTTAAGGCCCTAACTTTATTCTTTTGTATATGGATATTTAGGATTCCACTGCTGTTTGATGAATAGGTCATCTTTTCACTACTGAATGGTATTGGGACCCTTGATGAAAATTATTTTACTAGTACATAAGGGTCTGTTTTGGGGGGTCTTTCATTGGTCTGTTTATTTGTCTTCATACTAGTATTACACCATTTTGATTACTGTAGCTTTGTGTTAAATTTGAAATCAGGCCTGGTTACAGTAGTTCACATCTCTAATCCAAGTACTTTGGAAAGTGGAGACAAGAGGATCATTTGAAGCCAGGAGTTTGAGACCAGCCTGGGCAACACAGTAAGACCCTGTCTCTACAAAAATAAATTTAAAAATTACCTGGGCATTGTGAATACCTACTGGGGAGGCTGAGGCTGGAGAATCTCTTGAACCCAGGAATTGGAGGGTGTAGCAAGCTATGGTCATGTCACTGCACTCTGTCCTGGCCAACAGAGAGACCCTGTCTCAATAAAAAAAAATAAAGAGAGGGGAAGAAAAAAGTTTTGAAATCAGGAAATGTGAGTCCTCCAACTTTTTCTTTTTTTTCAAGATTATTTTGACTTTTCTGGATGGATCCCTTACATTTTTATATGACTATTAGGATCAGCTTGTCAGTCCCTGTAAAGAAGCCAACTTGGACTTTAAGAGATCATATTGAATGTGTAGCCCAATCTGAAGAGTCAGGGTTTTCCAGAGAAACAGAACCAAGGGGAGATTGTGTGTGTGTGTAGAGGGAGAGGGGATTGTAAGGAATTAATTCACGTGATTATGGAGGCTGAGAAGTCCTAAGATCTGTAGTTGTCAAGCTACAGATCCAGGAGTGCCAATGGTATAGTGAAGTCCAAAGGCCTGAGAACCAGGACAGTTGATGGTGTAAATGTTAGTCTGAGTCCAAGTCTGAAAACAAGAGTGTGGAGGGCGAGCTGTGAGGTGGCAGAGCCCCTACAGCCTGAGGAGATGTTCAGGGAGCGTTCAGATGCTTCTCCTCTGCCAGAAGTCATGTAGCCCCTGCCTGTTTTCCTTTTTATGTTACTGGCAAGCACATGGCTTTTCCTCCCTAAAGTTAAATCTTTACCCCATGTGCTTAAGACTATGTCATTTAGCAACTTTAAGATACTATATAAATAAAGCTGTTTCCATAGTTCAGTGCTGGCTGCAGTCTTAGCTACTCCAGCCCTCCCCATCCCATCTTTGTCTCTTGTGTGTCTTATTTCCTCATTCCCCACCATTCCCCCTCTGATTTGTTCTTCCTCATGCTGGTTTGAGAAACAAGAGAAAACCAGAGTCCTAGTTCTAAGACAGTCAGTGAGAATGAATTCTCCCTTGCTTATTAACTTTTTGTTTTATTCAGCCTTTGACTAGATTGGATGAGGCCCATCTATGTGGGGGAGGGGAATCTACTTTACTCATTCTTACTGATGCAATTGCTAATCTCATTCAGAAACACCTGCAAAGATAACACCTAGAATAACACTAAATATCTGGGCACCTGTGGCACACTCAAATTGATACATAAAATTATCCATCACAAAACGTATAGACATTTTAGGTGGCACCTGTGGCTCAAAGGAGTAGGCGCCAGCCCCATATGTCGGAGGTGGCTGGTTCAAACCCAGTCCCTGCCCCCCCCCCCCCAAAAAGTATAGCTATTTTAACAGTACGAAAGCCAACAGTCTGTGATCCACCATGCTTTTCCGTTTATTTAGATCATTAATTTTGTTCAACAATGTTTCGTAGTTTTCCTTTACAAGTTTTATACTTCAATGAAATATACTCCAAAGTTTTTTATTTTTTTGATGCTACTACACATGGAATTGTTTTCTTAATTTCTTTTTCAGGTTGTTAATTGCTAATGTATAGGAATAGAATTGAATTTTCTTTATCAGCATTATATCCTGTAACCTTGCTAAACTTGTTTATTAAGTATAATAGATTTTTTGGTTGATTCCTTAGGATTGTGTACATACAAGTGTCATCTGTAAATAGCAGCTGCTTTACTTCCTCCTCTTCAGCCTGAATGCCTTTTTCTTATCAGTTGCCCTAGCTAGAGTTGCCAGTATAGTTCTGTACAGAAGTAACAAGGGCAGACATCCTTGTCTTGTTCCTGATCTTTCAGAAAAAGCCTTCAATCTTTTACCGTTAAGTATGGTGTTAGCTGTGGGTTTTTTTGTAAGTAGCTTTATCAGTTCGAGGAAGTTCCCTTTTCTTCCTAGTATGTTAAGTGTTTTTATCATTAAAGGGTATTAGATTTTGTCAATGCTTTTTACACATCTGTTTAGTGAGCATATGGTTTTGGGTCTTTATTACAGTAATACTCTATATTACTTTATTTTTTTTTTTTCCATATGTTCAACCAGCCTTAGATTCCTAGAGTAAATCCTGCTTGGTCATTGCAAAATTTGGGGGTCCCCAAGAATGCCCATATTTTGATAATTTGCTAGAAGAACTAATAGAACTAAAAGCTGTTATACTTGTAGTTGTAGTTTAATGTAGCCAAAAGGGTGTAGATTATAATCAATCAAAGGAGAAGCTAATAGGAGAGGGTCCAGGAGAGTCCTAGGACATGGCCGCCACACTGTGGCTAACCTTGTTCTCCACCCTCTGTAGGTTGAGTTGAACCACATCATCCAAAGCCCACGGTCACCAAAGGCCCTCTTTGAGGCAAGACATTCCCAGGATTTAGACATTACTTCCCAGGAGCCACAGGCAATGGCCAGATCTCCCTTTGGGCAAGATTAATCCTTTACCACACAGTAATGGAGTGTAATCCTTTTATTAAGAGCCAGGATTGATTATTCAATATTTTGCTGAGGATTTTACATCTATTTATTTGTAAAGGATTTTGATTGTCAGTTTTCTTTTCTTGTGGTATCTTTGGTATTGGTATCAAGTTAACTCTGGCCTCACAGTGAGTTAGGAAGTGTTCCTTCCCCTTCTGTTTTCTGTTTTTTGTTTTTTTGGTTGTTTTTTTTGAAAGAGTTTGTGAAGAATTGTTGTTGAATTTTCTTGAAGTATTTGGTAGAATTCAGTGGTTTTCTCTATTTTTGTTTTCTTCTTTTTTCTTTTCTTTTCTTTTTTTTCTTTTTTTTTTTTTTTGAGACGGCACCTCAAGCTGTCCCCCCTGGGTAGAGTGCCATGGCATCACAGCTCACAGCAACCTCCAACTCCTGGGCCCAAGCGAATTTCTTGCCTCAGCCTCCCAAGTAGCTGGGACTACAGGCGCCAGCCACAACGCCTGGCCATTTTTTGGTTGCAGCCATCATTGTTGTTTGGCAGCCCAGGCTGGATTCGAACCCGCCACTTTAGGTGTATGTGGCTGGCGCCTTAGCCGCTTGAGCCACAGGTGCTGAGTCTTGTTTTCATTTTCATTAATTACTGTTTTTATTATTTCCTTCTGCTTTCTTTGGATTTGTTTTGCTCTTCCTTTTCCAAGTACTTGAGGTGAAAGCTGTGGCTTATTGATGTTCTTATTTGCTGTGTATGCATTTGTAGTGCTATCAATTGCCCTTTCAGCACTGCTTTGACTGTATTTTATACAGTTGTTATATTATTGTTTTGATTTTAATTCAGCTTATTGTATT